CTGCCGCTGCTACCGCTGCTGCAGTCAAGGAAGCAAGACTTTCTCTGCAACTCGCAGCCTAGCGCTTCTTGCCCTGCAGCGAAAGCAGCAGCAGCAGCAGCAACAGCAGCGTGCCTGTCCACGCAGCATTTCTCATACGCACGCATAATGTAGAGACTCCGGAGTCTAGCTGTAAGGGCTATGGCGCTCTTCATTGCCAAGGGTTTAGGGTTTAGGGTTTAGGGTTTAGGGTTTGGGGTCACCTGGGATTGCGCGAAACTTCTCTTGCTGTTGGCTTTAAATAGTGCTGCAGAATTATAAAAATAAAAAGACAAACCCTAAACCTCAAACCCTAAACCCTAAATCCTGAACTTCAAACCCTAAACCCTAGACCTCCAGGCCGGCAGCAGCAGCAACAGCAGAAGCAGCAGCAGACGTAGCAGCAGAAGCAGCAGCAGAAGCAGCAGCAGAAGCAGCAGCAGCAGAAACAGCAGCAGCACAAAGCACCGAATTTGCTACCTTGAAGAGGGGCCTCCACGCTGCCCTCTGCTTCGCAGCAGCAGCAGCAGGACCAGCAGCAGCAGCAACAGCAGCAGGAGAGTCAACTGGTCTTCCTCGCCATCCCCTCCTCAAGGGGTCTTCCACCAAAACTGCTGCTGCTGCTGCTGCTGCTGCTGCAGGGTACAGTTTGCCTTTTCTGAATGCTGCTGCTGCTATTTTATCTTCTATGGAATGGAATGACAGCAGCAGCAAACGGCCACCAGGCCGCAGCAGCAGCAGCGCCTGCTGCAGCAGCTGCTGCAGCGCGAGCGTCTCCTCGTTGACGTACATTCTTATGGCCTGCAGCAGCAGCAAGCAGCAGCAAGCAGCAGCAAGCAGCAGCAAAATAAAAAGGCAAAAGCAAAAGGAAACAAAAGAGAAAATAAGAGACAAGGCGGACCAATGGGCCATGCACTTTCTAACACAGAAGCTGATAGTGCAAAGGGAGCAGCAACAGCTGCTGCTGTTGCTTGTGCTGCTGCGGCTGCTGCTGCTGCTGCTGCTGCTGCTACACGGATAGGCGAAACGCATCTGCAGCAGCAGCAGTAGTGAGTGTGAAATACAGAAACCGCAGCGGCAGCAGCTGCTCCTTGCAGCATCCTGCAGAGCGGCAGTAGCAGCCGCACGCAGTACTCAGCAGCAGCAGCAGCAGCAGCAGCAGCAGCTCGAAGCCTCCTACTTGAAAGACCCTTGAGAGCATTTTGATATTTTGCTTCGGCGGGGCCGTGGGGGCGCAGCTGCTGACCAGCTCAACCAGCTCAGAGGTTTTCATGTGCTGCTGCTGCTGCTGCTGTTGCTGCTGCTGCTGCTGCCGAGATACAAGAGCTTCACTGATGCGTTTTGCCAGGGGCTCCTCGCCC